CAAGATGCATATGACGGGGGGCAGCGCAAATCGAGCACATCCAGGAAGCACGATTACAGAATAGGAAACCCCTATGTCAGAGCTGATGATAGGCCAGTATCGTCGATAGTAAATTGGCTCGACGATCCAGACTTACCACCTGTCATCACTGACTACTGTTTCAATGTTGCCACTTCGGGCCTCATTCACTCTCTAGAGAAATTGGGAGAAAAGGTCAGATGGCCTCGAAAGACGGACAAACCAGCGGGCCGTCGCGACCCGAATAAGCGCTGTGATTTCCACAGCGACATCGGACACAACACGGAAGATTGCATCGCATTAAGAAAGGAGGTGGCCTATTTGCTGAAAAACGGTTATCTGACGGAGATCATGTCTGAACGCACCAAATCACTGTTAGGACGGAATGATAAAGCGTCACCAAATGAGTCTCGGCCGCCTTCACCTTCTGCACCGTGTAAGGTAATCAACTTTATTAATGGTGGATCTGATTTATGTGGACTAACGTATTCTGCAGCAAAGAGACACGCCCGAGATTACACCCGAGACAAGTCGTTGTAGGTTTACAGGATCGGAAAACGTCAAGAGGAATGGAGGAATGCGTCATCATATTTGATGAAACGGATATTTCTGATCCGATACAATCTCATCACGATACATTGGTGATCTCCCTTAGAGTGGCAAACTGCGAAGTCAAACGAGTCCTCATAGACAACGGAAGCACCACAAATATTACCACCGTGAAAATGTTGAAAGAACTGAGAGCCAAGGAGGAAGATATAGCAGGATCCGGGTCAAGCTTGGTCGGATTCAATGGGGAGCCGAGCAGAACCGTAGGTAATATTTCGCTACCCGTATATACCCATGGTTTAAATATGCAGGTCAAGTTCGACGTAGTCATGAGCCTACCAGCATACAACATGATCTTGGGGACTCCATGGTTGCATCAAATGGGGGCGATTCCGTCAACTTATCATCAAATAATCAAGTTCCCAACACCGTGGGGAGTGCAAAGCATCAAGGGGGACCAACAGTCGGCCAAATCTTGCTACCAAACGGCGATGAGGCCAACTGCGGACCAAACTACCTCCAAGATTGCATAGCAATTAAAGGGTGGCCCCGCTCTGGTGGAAGATGACGCCAAAACAGAAGAAGTCGCCATCGACCCGGAACATCCAGAAAGGGTCATCCGCATCGGGAAAGACATGCCAAAGCACCTCAAAGACGAACTGATAAACTTCCTCAAAGAACATAAGGACGTGTTTGCATGGAGTCACGACGACATGACATGTATTGATCCTAATATCATAACTCACAGGTTAAACGTCAGCCCGTTACACAAACCCGTCAGACAGAAAAGAAGACGCTTTGCAAAAGAGAGGAACGCCATTATAAACCAGGAAGTTGATACGCTGCTTCGAACCGGTAAGGTAAAGGACGTAAAATATCCCGATTGGTTAGCTAATGTTGTTGTTGTTCAGAAAAAGAAAGGACAGGAGGAAGGCAAGCCAGTCAAATGGAGAGTCTGTGTGGACTTCACTGACCTAAACAAAGCATGTCCCAAAGACTCATTTCCGATGCCACACATTGACGCATTAGCGGACGCTACGGCAGGGCACGAAATGATATCCTTCATGGACGCATTCAGTGGTTATCATCAAATACAGCTTCACCCCGATGACCAAGAAAGCACGGCCTTCATCACTGAAACAGGTACGTATTGTTATGTTGTTATGCCTTTTGGACTAAAAAATGTAGGTGCGACGTTTCAGAGACTAGTCACCTTAATGTTCAAAGATCTGATGGGGGACACCATGGAAGTCTACATTGACGACATGATCGTCAAATCAAAGAAAAAAGAGGATCATATCCATCACCTGACGGAACCCTTCAGAAGACTGAAGAAGTACAACCTGAAGATCAATCCAGCGATATGTACTTTTGGAGTGACGTCAGGGGAATTTTTAGGATATATCGTCAGTGAACGAGGAATAGAGGCAAGCCCGGAACAAATACGAGCAATTATTGACATTGAATCTCCAAAATCCATCAAAGATGTCCAGAGGTTGACAGGACGAGTCGCGGCTTTGAATCGTTTCATTTCGAAATCGTCAGACAGGTGCCATTTGTTTTATGACGTCTTGAGAAAGAACAAAAAATTCGAATGGACAGATCGGCACGAACAGGCGCTTCAGCAATTAAAAGAATATATGATGTCGCCACCATTGCTCGCAATACCCAAAAATGACGACGAACTGCAACTTTATCTAGCCGTTTCAGAGCACGCCGTCAGTGCAGTACTGACAAAAGAGGAGCAGGGGCAGCAAACTCCAGTCTATTACGTAAGTAAATCCCTAAATGGCCCGGAATCCAGGTACGCTTTACTTGAAAAATTAGTTTTAGCTTTGATCGTTGCTTCGATTAAATTACGCCCTTATTTTGAATCACATACCATTTGTGTTAGAACTAATTATCCCATGAAGTCAATCATGAGGAAACCAGAATTGACAGGTCGCATGGCCAAATGGTCGATTCAACTTGGAGCTTATGACATAAGATTTGAACCAAGAACAACCTTGAAATCACAGTCACTTGCAGATTTTGTGGCGGACTTTAGTCCAAAGCTCCAAGATGAGGCAGAGAAAGAGACTTGCACTCTGATCGACGGATTGCCAAAGCAAAAATGGACATTGCACACTGACGGAGCATCAAACCAGAACGGCGCAGGTCTGGGCGTGGTACTGAAGTCACCACAAGGGGACACCATGCTCCAAGCAGTACATTGCGATTTCACCGCTACGAACAACGAGGCAGAGTACGAGGCGCTAATCGTCGAACTCACATTGGCAAGGGACTTGGGCATCAAAATCTTGGAGGTAAAATGTGATTCTTTACTGATAATTAATCAAACTAATGGTGTGTATGCAGCAAAGGACCCCAAGATGACATCTTATTTGCAAATTGTCCGAGAATTGATAACGGCATTTGACGAGATAACCCTTGAACAAGTCCCACGTGAAGAAAACACACAAGCCGACACTCTGGCCGCTGTCGGATCATGTCTGGGGGCAGAAATCAATCGCAACATCCCTTATGTGCACTTGATGAGCCCATCAATTTATAGATCAGAGGTTGTCTCTACCATTGAAACCCCATCACAAGACGACTGGACACAACAATACATAGCGTACTTAAAGCACAATACTCTCCTAGAAGACAAGAAAGAGGCCAAGGCTTTCCTATCCAAGGTAAGTAAATTTCTACTAATTGATGGTGTACTATTTAAAAGATTTGTCGCAGGTCCATATCAAAGATGTCTGACACCGCAAGAAGCCGCCAAAGTATTGAAAAACCTTCATGAAGGGGAGTGTGGCAATCACGCAGCCGGGCGAAGTCTGTCTAACAAAGCTCTTAGATTCGGATATTACTGGCCAACCATGAGAGAAGACGCAACCACTTTCACCCAAAGATGCAAGCCTTGTCAGATGCACGGACCAATTCGTCATCAGCCTTCCGAGTCGCTTCATCCAGTCCTATCACCATGGCCCTTCATGAAATGGGGCATGGATATCGTAGGAAAATTGCCAGAAGCGCCGGGGCAGAAAGTATATATGCTGGCAATGACGGATTATTTTTCAAAGTGGGTGGAGGCTGAGCCTTTTCGTCAGATACGAGATGACTAGGTAATTTCGTTTATCAAGAGAAACATCCTTTGCAGATTCGACGTTCCTTCAGAGATCGTCTGTGACAACGGATCTCAGTTCATAAGCGCTAAGACCAGACGTTTTTGTGAGAAGTACAATATCAAATTGGAAACGTCGACACCTAGGTACCCGCAATCTAATGGGCAGGCCGAGTCTAGCAACAAAATTATCATTGCCAACTTAAAGAAGAGGCTTGAAAAGGCGCAAGGCAGGTGGGCTGACGAATTGCCCTTGATACTATGGGCAGACAGGACAACTCCGAAAAATGCAACCGGACAAACCCCATTCTCTCTGGTGTATGGCTGCGAAGCGGTCATTCCTGCTGAAATTGAAGTACCTTCTTCAAGATATGGACTCATGACTTGGGAGTTGAACAATGTGGAGTTGACACACGACTTGGATACCATTGACGAGATCCGTGAACGAGCCAAGATTCGCTTGCAGACATATCAACAGATGGTTGCAAAAAGCTATAATAAGAATGTCCGGACGAAGGTGTTCAAGAGGGGAGATTGGGTCTTGAGGAGAGCATTTGGCAATGAAGCAGCCGGAAAATTTAGTCCTAATTGGGAAGGACCTTACAAAATCATTGACGTCGTTGGTCAGGGGGCATACCGCCTGGAATCAATCGATGGTAAACGAGTCCCTCGAAGTTGGAATGCGGTACATTTAAAACGTTTTCATTTTTAACAAAAGTTTCTTTTCTTTTCTGCATTTCTATCCCTATTACTAAATGAAATAACTAACTTGGCCGTCGGAGGGCCGTTGGCTTAAGGCCAACGACCAACCCGGACAATAATTGTAAATACAGGAAGGCACACGAAAATGGCAAGGTCACAGGTAATTAGTTACGGTTCGCGTAATCTTGAATATAGTAAATACAATTCGTCGTTTACTAACTTGACCGTCGGAGGGCCGTTGGCCCCAAGCCAACGGCCGACCCCAACGGTACGGTATCATCGCAGGACTATGACAGGTTAAGATCTAAATACCAGGTGACGCAAATACGAGAACAACAGATAGAACATTCAGATCTGCTCATGACAAAACATCAACATACAGGGGACATGGGACTCATTATGAAAAAACCATAAATGAAGTTCCATGAAACCGAATACGTTTTGGCCAAAACACACACGCATTTATGACACAGCGCATACACATGACATGTTGCACACATAAACAGCAGACATGCATACACAACAGAATGCACATAAGCAAAAGTATGATCCAAGCATTAGCAAAAACAGTGACAAATTCACATAATGGTGTGGACAGCGCTAGGCTAAACCGCCAAGCATGAAGCCCATGAGTAGCGCGATAAGGCGTTAAGTCCCGGATAAACCACCGGGAACCCTTAACGCAAGTCGAAAAGTGTCAGAATAATTCAAAAGCAGGGAATGTTTGGAATCCAGCAGACTTAGAAAAAAGGGAAGCATGATCATCTGACCGGTAAACATTAAGAATCAGTCTCATCGTCAGAATGACCCACCTCGAAGTCGTCTTCCCCTACAGGAGGATCCATCTCTTCCCTCAGTATATGCCATGTAGCCACATCCCGTTCCGCTGATCAGTGTGTCATTTCTCCTTTAATAAAAGATGTCATCAACTCACCCCTGGTCTTCCAGACATAATAGCAAGCGGCGTCAATTACTTCTTGCTTCTTTTTTCGACCATAAGCCTCCAAGGATTTGACTCTGGCGTTGAGCTGCAGAATCTGGGCAGATTGAGTAGAACTTTTGTCTTCCAACTCTTGAACTAACTTTGTACTCTTATCAAGTGTAGATGCTAGGGAGATCTCCTTCTGTTTCAGCTCATCAACGGTTCTCTCTAGTAAAGAGACACGAGCAGCAGCGACAAGGCTCGCCTGAATACTCTGAAGAAGACCAGACAAGTTATTCAAGGGTAAAGGGAAGAAAGCTCACTAAGCATGGTGATTCATCAGCACCTTAAACGCATAAGCGGAAGATGCAGCAATAACACCGGTATGGAGCAAGCAGTCAAAAAAGGGAGCAGAGGAGGCCAATTGAAATTGAGCCATTTCGTCTTTCATGATTAGAGCGTCCTTCAAATCACAGAATTCCGGGGAAAGTGATAAGTGCATAACTTGTGGTGGTTTCGCCCAGGTATCAACCCCATGTTCCGCATTGGGAGCATTAGGAGTTGTGGCAGCATCAGGCGTCGGGTACTTGGGGACCTTTGGAGGATTTGCTGACAATTTAGAGGGCATCCTTTTCCTCCTCGATGCCATAGCCAACAGCTCATGGTCAGAAGGAACGGAACGGGAAGTGCTTGATGAAGTAGCTAAACAAATAAAGAGGAATAGAAGTCAGGAGTACTCGATCCAGCACTAATAAAGAAAAGCATAGACCTCAGATAGTACCTGCAATAGGAGTAGAATCCTTGAGTGGGGGCACGGGAGTATTCTTAGCAATCGGAAAAACAACTTGTAAAGGGACGAAAGCGCTCATGCCCTCGCCATCATCTTTGGAGACTTCTGATCCTTGCCCTGAATCTTCTACGAAAACGACATGTGAATTCTGATTCAAATTGTGTGCGGTAGGAGTGTGCCTACGAGATCGCCTTAACCCCACATAATCAGACTCAACAGGAAGAGGCAACGTACCTTGGAAGTCTGACACCAGGTTCACATAAGTTCGATCCTCAATAGGGAACGAAAGAATCCTGGCATTTCTCTCTTCAGAATGCAGACCGGGAACCAGTGGAATAGTCTTCCTCTCTGCACGACAAAGAGAAACAATGCCAAATACATCAAGTTTTATACATATATCCAGGCACGCAGAAAACCTTCTGAAGTTACCCATCTCCATTACTTACACCCGAGGTTTCAAATCAGATAACAAAAATAGGAAACGGAATTCAACCGAGCAAATCAAGAAACGCGATTCGAAAGAGAAGCTAACCTTTGTGTAAATTCTCTTCCAGAAATGATCCGTCAGCACCTAACGACTCTTTATTTACAAAAAAGTACAAGTTCATCCACCCCCGGTCATTAGCTTTGTCCACCTTGTGAATGAGGGCCTCTTTTCCTTCCTTCACTGCTAAGGTAAAACGATCGGCTCCTGAAGATCTGAGGTCGTAGGTGAATCCCAAGTCTTCGAAATCTAGGGCCAAACTATGTTTCTCACTCAAGACCTCCAAAGCTCTTAGTACCCTCCATACTTGGGGCATGATTTGGGAAGGCGATACTCTGACGAAAGCAAGAAAGTCTCGGACTAAACGCGAGAATGGGAATTTCATACCTATCTTGAAAGGGTACATCAAGAAGTTTACCCAACCATCACAGAACCAATCTATCCTCTCGTTCGCTGCTTGAAAACGAATAACCGCGTCGTGGGGAAAGCCGATAGATGACCTGATAAATTCGACATGATATTCTGAAAGTTTCGCTTGCTTTGAGTTCTTTGGATCTAAGATGTGTTGCGGAATGAAGGATTGTGAAGCCATGAAGAACCAAGGCGCTGGCTGAGATTTGCAAGAAATTGAAAGGAGAGGAAAAGAAGTTTTTCTTGCTGAGTTAGTTCACTAAGGGAAGAAGAGACTCGCGATTGATTGATACCAAACGACTGACGGCTTTACACATTCCAAGGTGATGTCATGATGATAAAAATTCAAAGAATCGGTTGGCCCTTTAATTTTTCGAAATTGGCGCCTTCCTCTTCTTTGAATTGGGGGCAATTGTTGGGCCGAGAATAAAATGGATCCATGATCGTTTTAAGCCTGGATCGGAACTTGAGGAGGGGATAAATACAACAAGATCAGGCCTAAAATGTAGGTGAACATAGTTGGATAATTCATAACTATCACATTGTAGTCCGGAAGGGGGTTGGGAGTGGGCAAGAAAAAAGGAGAGTGTGAGTATAAATGTTGGAGGAGAGATCATTTATTGTATGACATGAAAAACTATCACATAAAGCAAATACATCTCTTATTGATAATCTTACCATATTTTCATTGTGATTCTTGTACGACGTCCTATACATTTTAATTGTTTGAATTAGTCTAAATCTTGCTTAAACACACTCCTACTGGAAATTTCCAGTCACCGGAGACGAGTTCAATTCCAGGACAAGTGTGAACAACTTGCTTATCATATTTCTTACGCGTGATTTGGAACATGCTACTCTATAATTCTATAAAAACATGCTCTGTATACTACACTGCAGTGATATAAACATAAACCATCCTCTGTCCGAGATATAAAAGAAAAGAGGGGCGACAGAGATTCAATTCATGGCAGCCAATTCAGGGCTCGGTCCGTCCATTGATGAAGAAAGGTGGGTGAGCCTGAGTAACAGAGCCTTACAGTCAGAACTCATCTTAGAAATCGATGGCTTTTCTCCAACAATCTTTCAAGTCCCCAAGTCCGTCAGCGAAACCAAGCCAGAAGCCTACACCCCTCTGCTACTCGGCATGGGACCGTACCATCATCTCCGGCCCGACCTCCACGCCGCAAACCTCCAGAAGCTCGTCGCCCTCAACAAATTTCTTGGAAAAAACCCATCCAATAACCTCTCCAAACACATCCTCAAAAAGATGAGGGATTTGGAGCTGCTGGTTCGGGCCAGCTACGACCAGTACGTGGATCTGGATTGCTCCACCCTAGACTACATCCTCGCCGTTGATTCTTTCTACCTGCTCGTTTTTTTGGGTATGTACGGGAAGAAAACTCCCACTCTCGGACCCGGTTGCCAAGAGCTTGCCAAGGACATCTTGAAGTTTGAGAATCAAATCCCGGCACGTGCCGTAGAAGAGATGGGGAATCAGCTAGGTTTGTTCCCTCACCTTGCATCTCCATAGTTTCTCATTTTTTGTTTTCCTTACGTCGCGGTCAATGTCTCTCATGCTAGCTCAGTATCATTTGTATCCAATTGAATTGCAAACTTTGATCGGAAAGGATTAAGAAATGACAAATGATCTTGCTTTTTACACTTTTATCCATCTTTCTAAAAGTAAATAATTTTAAATTAATGGGGAAAAAGAAAAAATAAGGGTAAATTTGTCACTTTATTATTATTTACATACCTAAAATAGAAAGTGGAAAACTATTTTGAGACAAACACAAAAAATCCCAAATCAAATTGGGACGGAGGGAGTATCATATTTGATATTTTTTCCGTCCTATTAGAAAATTTTCATGTTTAAATGGCACAATGTTGTAGATAAGTGTTTAAATGAAGCAATTTGTGCAAAAAAAATTGGGACAATGTGGTAGGTAAGTGATTAAATAAAGCAATTTGTGTAAAGAGAAAATCTAAAATGAGTAAACATATAAAGTGAAATTAATTAAAAATATTAGAAATATGTCTAAATAGGACTAAAACTATGGCAAAAACTCAAAATAGGACCATATTAGTCGTATTAGAAACATACCTATTTTTCATTTTATTCTTACACTTCCTTTAAATATGAGTTAAAAATAGTCAAAAGCTATACTTAAATGTTTAATTCATAATAAATTTGAAAACAATTCAAAAATTCGTACAAAAATAATTAAAAAATTTATAAAATATTTATAAAATTAAATTTCCAAAAAATTATTATATTTTTTTTGAAAAAATTAATAAAAAATAGTAAAACTCAATAAAAAAATTAAAAAAATATAGATGCCTTTCCCACCGCCTGTACTACCTCCCTGCACCACCACCTTCGGCCAGTGAAAAAAATGCCATTTTCTCTAAAAACAGTCATTTTTCCTGAAAATGCCAAAAAATGACATATTTCTCTTTGAAAATGCCAACATTTTCATTGTTTTCTACCATAAATATGGCATTCGTAATGAATTTGGCATTTTTTCCCCTGATGACTGGAGGTGGTGGTGCTGAGGCGGCGGTGATTTTTTTTTTTGAGTTTTTAATTTTTTTTTAAGAAAAAATTAAATTTTTTTTGAAAAATAAAATAAAATAAAGTATTATTATATAAATATTTTTATTAATTTTTTAGTATTTTTTACGAATTACTATTATTTTTTATTATTTTAGTATGAATTAAAACATTTCAATAGTTATAAGGGTATATTTATCTAAGACAAACATAATTAGTCCTATGAAAACATAGTTTATTTTTTGGTCCTATTTGTGCAAAGTGCGTGACTTTTAGTCCTATTTTGATAATTAACTCAACAAATATAAGTTTGGGGAAGAGAAATTGTGAAACTTGACATCTAATTAGTAGGAAAGACAAATTTGAATAAAAGTAAATTAAATAGAGTAATTTATTTCCTAAAAAGGAATGAGAACTTTTAAATAGGACATCCAAATAAGGAAATAGGAAACCTTTCAACACGGGATTGAGGGTTTACACCATACGGCCGGCTGTACCGTGCGCACGGTACAACCGCGCTTTTTTAGCCTTCCGCGATTATTTTGTTAATCGAAGGATGAACAGTCACCAGGTCATGACTTTTGCTTTCCTCGTCCTCGACCTACTATTGATTTCTTCGTCTGTGCTCCTCTTCAATTCAAAAGAACCATCGTCTTTCTTAGAACTCTCTTCCTCTGTCTAATTACTCCGCCTAACCTTCCAGCCCTAAATTCAGATGATTGCCTAACCCTCTAGCCCTAAATCGAGATGAATCGAGTACAGATTCATTCGGTGAGAAGGCCTGGTGTGGATTAGTGGGAAGGACATAGTGGTGTGGATCCCTTCATCTTTCTTCACCTAAATTCATGGAATAAGCATTAAGTATCCCTACTTGTTTAATTTGATTGGCCTGAGGTTTGTTGATAACGTTCATTCGGCCGGTGTGCCACCCCACTAATATAATTTTACAAAAGAAATTAAATGGGCATATACAATTGAATAATTGAGCACACTACATATTTTAAATGAGCTTTTTGAATTTTTCGATGCTCATTTGGTAACTTATGTGTGCTCATTTGAAATTGGTGTAATACTCATTTTAAAATGGAATATTCATGTATCTTTCAAACATATTATATTACATTAGATTCACATTACAAATGAGTTTTATGTTAAACTCAAATGAGTAAAACGCCCAAAACGAATGCGCACACACAAATGAGCTTTTAATTTTTTTGATACTTATTTTGAAAGTTATGTGTACTCATTTGATATTGCTTTATGCTCATTTTAAAAGGTTGCACATTTCAAACACATCATACTATAATGAAATTAATTGAAATTGATTATAGACATAACTTCACTTTTTAATAAACAAAAAAATAATAAACAGAAGATGATATATATGGTATGAAGCAGAGATCGTTGATGCTCACCGTTAGCTCCTAATACTCAAAAGAACATGCTTGATGCTAATCAAAATTGCATATATGCTCATTTAAGAGAATCCACGATTTTCACAAAAATTACAAATTTGCCACCGACTATACAGTGATCACTGTACAGCCAGCTGGAGATGGAGAGAGTATGGGCCTATTTACTAACAGAGATACTTTCCTGTTTTCTACTTCTGTTTTTCATTCTCCAATTTTCTGTTTTTATTTTTCAGTTTTTCTATCTCTAGTTTTTTGTTTCTATTTTCTAGTTTTCCATTTTCAAATCTGAAAACATGTTCATCAATTTTTTCACCCAGTTCTGTGATCATCCAGAAGACTGACTCGTTTACTTCACGGGTTACTAAATGGTGCTTATTATGACTCGTGTTAATAAGCGATGCATAAAATAAGCAATTTTATAAGACCATGTTTACTTCAAAAGGTTTAAAACACCGTTTAACATTAAAATGTCCAAAATAACCCTATACATATATAAACACACACACACACACTAATGAACACAAATATATAATATAATATGTGGGGTCGATCACCTCGTACGTGTACCCATACTCCTAACCCCTACAGTGCCCCTATACCCCGTACCCCCACCTTACACCCTACACCCAATTCCACCCCATTTACCCTTACCCCTACCCTTACCACGATCTTACACTCTACTCATACTCCCCTAAAACCCTTCATACTCACCCATACCTACTCGTAGGGGTCAGGGTAGGGAAGGAAGGTATGGGTGGGGTGGAGGTGGGTGGGGTGGTTAGGTCTAAGGGTACGGAGTTGGGTGGGGGTAGTGAGTAGGGTTGGGGTTGGGGTAAGGTAGGGGTAGAGTAGGGAGTTGGGATAGGATGGCGGTAGGGTGGGGTCGGGATCAGGGTGGGGGCGAGGTAGGGGAAGGGGTAGGGTGGTGGGTAGGATGGCAGTAGGGTGGGGGTAGGATGGCGGTAGGGTGGGGCCGAGGTAGGGGTCATGTGGAAAGGGGTAAGGTAGGGGTAAGGGGTAATATACGAGGTGGTGGTATGGTAGGGTGTGTCAGGGTGGGGTTGAGGTGGTAAGGGGTGGCGGTAAGGTAGGGTGGATCGGGGTGGGACCGAGGTAGGGGCATGTGGTAGGGGGTGGGGGTGGGGTCATTGTAGGGAAAAGGGATATGCAGGGTGGGGGTTTTGTGGCTCTAATTCACTCTTACTTTTTTCTCATTTTATTAATTCACCATCAATCGCATCTCCACTTTTCTTAAAAACTGTATCACTCCCTTTTGTCCCAATCTTAGGGTGACGGAGCCACGGAGGTATTACTAATTAATTATCAACCACATAATAAAAGTATAACTAGATGATGAAGTATTGATCGAAACAGTGAAAAATATATTACTAAAATAAAATAATGGGTACAACAACAACAACATCCAACCCTTAATCCCAAAAGAATTTGGGGTCGGTTAACAATGATATCGATGTCAAACAGAGAAGACAGACAAGAAATGGATGAAAAAAAAGTAAGATAAAATGAATAAAATAAAAATAAATAAATATAAGATAACAATAATACAAGAATATAAGAAAGACAAAAGATAAAAAAAAATAAAAAACTGGAATTTAATAATAACATAAGAATATACAAAGACGAAGAAGATAAACGATAAAAGAAAAAAGAGAGGAAAGGTAGAAAAGACATCAATCGTCCACACGGGTGTACGCCCTCCACTTTGCTCTCTCCAAAGTCATACTCTCATCCAACCCCAAAAGACGCATATCAGATTTGATTCCTCTAATCCAAGTCTCATCCAACCACTTTGCTCTTCTCTGCCTGTTCTCCCCACCCCCCAAGTCGTCTAACACGTGCATCACTCGGTCTTCTACGCACATGCCCAAACCACTGCAAACGAGACTCCTGCATCTTATCTTCTATAGGTGCCACTCCCACCTTTTGTCTGATTATGTCATTCGTCAAACGGTCTTTTTTGGTATGTCCACACATCCAACGCAACATACACATCTCTGTCACACTCACCTTTTGAATGTGACATTGCTTCACCGCCTAACATTCTACGCCATACATTAAATAAAGCCTAATTGTTGTTCGATAAAATTTATCTTTCAGTCTAGTCGGCATACCTCGATCGCATAGAAATCCTGAAGCACTCTTCCATTTCATCCACCCAGCTCTGATTCTATGACATACATCTCCATCTAATTCACCATCCTTCTGGATTATGGAACTCAAGTAACAGAACATATCACACACTGATATCTCCTTACCATCAAGAGTAATCCAATTGTTGCTACTACTTCTACCTCCACCAAACTTGCACTTCATAAACCCTTGGTCTCCAATGTTTGTCATCATACTTCCAATTTTGCTTTAACACCGGATTGTGTCTCATCAATCAATACAATATTGTCGGTAAACATCATGCACCACGGTATATCTTCATGGATTGACTTCATAAGTTCATCCATGACTATGGAAAATAAGAAAGGACTCAGAGCAGATCCTTGGTACACTCCGATAGTAATAGGGGACTCGGCGGTCCTCCCTACACTAGTGCAGACACTTGTAGTACAAGCATCATACATATCCATGATGATACTGATATACTTACGTGATATGCCTTTTTTAGTTAAGGCCCACCACAAGACTTCTCGAGGTACCCTATCAAATGCAAATCCTTTTTAGTGTCTCTATACTTCTCCATAACTTTTCTAAGAAGGTGAATGGCCTCAGCTGTTGAGCGTCCAGGCATAAAACCACATTGATTCTCCGAAATTTTCACACTTTTACGAAGTCTTTGCTCAACCATTCGCTCCCAAATTTGCATGGTGTGACTCAAAAGCTTAATCCCTCGATGGTTGACACATTCTTGTACATAACCCTTAAAATAAGGCAATGAGAGTACTCTTCCGCCAACTCAATGACATTTTGTTGTTTCTCCAATTCATGTTGAAGAAATGTGTTAGCCACTCGATGCCTTTCTCTCACAAACTTCTCCAAGCCTCGATCAGTTTACCATCTAGGCCCACTGCTATCTTCCGCCCCATTTTTCTCATAGCCTCTTTAACTTCTGTTGTTTGAATCCTTCTCACGAAGTCTCGATTTACCATACACTCTAGTATAGTAAGATCATCAATACCTTGCACTTTATTCCCATTGGACAAGTTATCAAAGTATGACCTCCACCTCTCTTTAATTTCTTTGTCCTCCATTAGTACCCTTTGATCGACATCCTTCACACACTTAACTTTTCCGATATCTTGAGTCCTACGATCACGAAGGCGAGTAAGTATGTATATATCTTTTTCTCCTTCTTTAGAGTCCAACTTTACATATAATTCCTTGTTCAATTTTCCTCTGGCTTCCTTCACAGCTTTCTTTGCTCTTCTACGAGTCTTCTTGTACTCCTCTATGTTCTCGTCGCTCCAACTTTTGTCCAATTTCTTATAGCATTCGTTTTTGGTCCTTATTGCTTGTTTCACCTCATCATTCCACTAAGACATGTCTTTTTTTGGTAGCAGACATCCTTTAGATTCTCCGAGTATCTCCTTCGCCACTTTGTTAATGGTGGACTTCATTGATAACCACACATCATCCACATGTTATCAATAAACCATACATCTTCCTCCAACATTTTCTGTGCAAAACTTTGTTGGAGATTCCCCTTGAGCCTCCACCATTTTATCTATGGCTCCCCTTGTACCTTAACTCGTCTCCTCTTTTTACCTTGAAAATCAAGCACAAGCATCCTATGCTGAGTGACAGCACTCTCACCTGGGATAACCTTACAATCAGTGTAGCTAGTTCTCCAAGTCGTTCGTACTAAAAAGTAGTCAGTTAGGGTACTATTAGCTCCACTTCTATAGGTGACAAGGTGAGAGTCTCTTTTTTTTGAACTAGGTGTTCATCACAGACAACTCATATGTCGAGACGAAATCCAAAATGTTCTTCCCCGCTTCATTTCTAGTGCCAAAGGCATGTCCGTCATGGATACTCTCAAAACCATCCCGACTTAGGCCCACATGCCCGTTGAGGTCGCCTCCTATTACCGATTTCTGAAAAATAAAATAATGGGTAGAAATATAAATTTTAATGTGCGACAACAAAATTAATATTTCAAAGTGACTATATGGTATCATGTTAGGGGGTGTTTGAATCTGTTTCTTAAAACTATTTCTGCTCCTTCAAAAGCAGAAGCAGATAATGGAGTGTTCGGGTGAAAATGCAAAAGTACTTCTAAATGCTCCAAATTTTTCATAAAAGCAGTTTTTTAGAAATTGGGGGAGATCGGTTTCTGAAAAATTGATTCTGATTATGTTTCTGCTTTTCAAAAAGAAGCAGAAACTCAATTAGTTCCAAACACCTCCTTAATGTTCAATTCAGGAAAAAATCTATTAATATTATATATCGATATTATTATGAGATAGTAATAAGTGAATATAGGACATAATAAAATCTCTTGTTGTTACTATATACTACTCCGTATTATTATCATATGATTATTGCCTTTATTGGTGGTTTAATTTAGGTATCCCAACAAGCAAGCTGCATTCAGAACTCTTTTACTACCTATGCAAAGCTCACTCTCCGCTCAAACTTGATATGGGTTTCGTGAACGACTGCTATGAGGGCAGTCACCTGCTGGCACATATGTATCATCGGGTCATAAACAACCGGGGTGGACCAGTGACGCGGTTAATGTCTGCAGGGGGCAAAAGCACAGAGGACGGAATAGAGGCATTAAAAGATTTAAGTGAATTACTTGGAGTAGGAGCATCCAAATGGATTAATCCAATGCTATTAGCTTTGGAGGCATTACAAGTTTTGGAGATTAGCAGCAAGTTAGCTGATGAGATTACTAAGATTAAACTATCAAAACCACCAAAGAAGAGTCATCAAATTCCTTCAGCATCGGATCTGTCCAAGAAACACAATGTGGGTTTCAGGCTGCTGGAATGTGAAGGGATTAGGGATATCAAATTTGACCTCCAGGACGACATAAGAACGGTTTCTCTGCCTCAGATCACTTTAAAATGCGATTCAGAGGTGGTTTTAAGAAACCTGCTGGCATATGAATCTGCCATTGCAATCCCAGAGTCAGCCTTTGAGCTTGCTGGATATATTCACCTGATGAGCAACATACTGCAGACACCTGATGACGTGGCGTTGCTACGGGGGAAGGATATCATCATCAAGCAGGGAGACCTGGATGACGCGGAAGTTGTTGAAATCTTCAACGGGATTGGAAAAACTGTGGGGGACTTGAAGCCGAAGAGGGAGTGTGCGAGCAGGGAGGTGGTGAAACAAGTGAAGCAGATGGTGGAGGAATGGGAGAAGAAGAGGAAGAGGTATGTGTTGAAAAGGGTGTGGAAGTGTATGGAGAAGAAGGTCAACAATGGTGTGGAGTTGATGAGTAAGCCTGTAAGAATTGGTGTCAAGAGTCTGCTGTATCTTATCATGATTGTGCTACTTGTGCTGGAGATGATGCAAGCATATCGCCAGATTTATGAACCCAAGAAAGGCCGGGGTTCTTAGCCTATGAGTTCCAAGATTATTTTTGGTGTCAGACAACAAACGTTAACGTTTTGTTTGAACAGACAAAAAAAACCTACACATATATGTATAAAAGTGTGTACACCAAAATGGTGTGTACAAAAAGTATTTTTGATGAGTTCCACTATGTCACGGGAGCGTTAGATGCTTAGATATACTACGTATATATTTATTCACTTCCTAAATAAGTGTAACATGTTGAATTTTACATTATTCACATGTTCTATTTTGACTTTGTTTTATGTATTAATGTATTAATAAATTATTCTATAAAAAATATTGTTAAATTTGTGTCATTGTAAATTTTCAAAATCTGACTTTTTTTAATTTTTTCCAAATAAAGAATAATATATATTAATGATCAAAATTGTGTATCAGCAAACATGAGAAGTGGACTTAGAAGTAAACATTATTGAGACATACCCCCAATAACAATTCTAGTCTAGTAGAGAAGACATAAATTAAAATATAACAATGATAAAAACACAAATAATATTATTAATACATAATAACAAATAATATTAATACGTAACAAGATATTATGGCATTTTATGTGGTTATTAGTGCATTATAAGAAGTAATAATTTTTGTGTGTCGGTAATAATTTGATTTAGGCAAAACTCACATCAATAATATCACATATTAGGCATAAACCACATTGTGTGGTAGAGAGAAATGATATCAACCGCATTTTTTGTCAAAAAGGGAAAATAACCACTATTTAGGGATGGGCAAAAAAGAAAAGTTGAAAGATTAAAATGGAAAGTTGGAGTAACATTTTCCCCATGACAGAAGACCCTCCCTCTCCATCACTCTATGCTATCTCAAAACCATTGCTTGGATTTATTTGTTAATTCGAAAGAAGAAGAAGGCAGAGAAAATCATGAACAAGGAGCCACGGTTTTCCCTCTGAAGGTTCAAATTAGGATGTTTTGTAGTTGGACTGTTTTTAGTCCTAGACCAGACCAGATCAGATCAAACCAGACAATATCAGATCAGATCAGGCCATACCAGACTTGGACAGTTATAAAATACACATAGACCAAACATTACCAGATCAGACCAGACCACTTTAAATCGGACCAGACTGGATCAGATCAGGTCACAAAATTCTCATCCAAGTAAAACCATCCTTAGAGGATGAGAAGCTTCCATTAAGAATTCCTAAATTCGAAAGAAGAAAGAAGAAAGTAAGATGTATCAAGGAAGACACATGACTATCTACGTAGAATAATCATTAAAGGTGTTCATGAATTGAACACGGCGGCTTTGCTAGCCATTCTTCTTTTATCCCAAATGGATTTTCTTGACCCATCCGACCATGTTTCATAAGGCCAAGCAACCATCACGAACGGTTCAATAGAATTGAATATTTGTCCAATAGCATTCACAGAAGGTCCAATAAAATATAGAATAGCCTGGTAGCATTTTTAAGGGGCTCAATGACAATCAGATCCAATAATTTTTAAATATCCACAATTAGCTTTCACTTCATTACAAGTTTTGGAGCAATGCATGTTAGCTGATAAGATTACTAAGATTAAACTATCAAAAAATACAATGTGGATTTCATCAGGCTTCCGGAAAGGGAAGAGATCAGGAAATCAAATTTGATCTCGAGGACATAAGAACGATTTATCTCCCTGAGATCAATTTAAAATGTGATTCAGCAGTGGTTTTAAGAAACTTGGTGGCATATGAATTTGCCATTGTCACCCAAGAGTTAACCTTTGAGCTTGCTTGATATATTTACTCGAAAAGGGGTCAAATAGACTCTTCAACTATCTCGAATTCATCACATAAACCCATCTACTAATGAAAGAATCAGTTAAACACATTTACTCCCTAAAACCGTTCAATGTGGTCAGATTTACCGGAAGACAACTTTCTTAACCGGTGAAAGACATATTTGACTTTTTTCTTTTCCTTTTCTTCATTCTTTCTTTGTACTCGTTGTCCGCCGTCCGAAACTCCTTAGCTTCTAGCGGCAACTGCATTTTTTTCTCTTCCATCTTTAATCCCGCTCTTTATATAAATTCGAAGTCACCGACTGTGGAAGTTTAGGCACCATGGGAATTGTTATGACTAGGAGTGGGCATGGTTGGTTAACCGCATTTTGGTTAACCAATTTTCGGTTAACCGTGATATTGGTTACGCAATTTTATATATCGTTACCCGTACCATAACATTGGTTAACCGGATACTGGTTAACCAATATTTCGGTTAACCAATAACGGTTAACCAATAAACCGAAAGAGAAAGATAAAATTACCAATATTCTTGTTGTTTTAAACTTTGTACATACGGAGCACAATTTTTTAAACGTAGAGCTAGCCAGCTAGGAAACTAGTTTTTTTTTTACAGATAGCTATATAATAATACAGTAATACATAGTTTTTTTTTGACATATTGCTTTTTTTAAAGTAGAGCTTCCCAGCTAGGCATAATAATAATACGTAGTAATAATAATACGGAGTAACTATACAGAGCAACACTATATGTACGTATTATAATATATTCCACATGATTGTTTGGGAGGGAACTGGAAGTCTGGAAGCATGAGCACAATTTTCATGGGAAGCACGTCGCAGCTTGACGCAAATGTTACAAAACATGTACATGTTGGTTAACCGGTATTAACATAATCTTAACCATAACCGTACCATTACCGTTTTTATTTTTGCGGTTGGTTAACCGTACCGTAAGTTTTTAAACAATCCGGTACGATTAACCGGAAAATACATCGATTTTTCGGTTTTTTGGTTTGGTTAGTCGGTTATGGTATTTTGTGCCCACCCCTAGTTATGACCCTCGAAGAATGAGTTTGAATTCTGCTTTTTTACTTTGTATTGAGGAATTCCATGAGGGCAGGGGGCATTGGGATCCTTTTGAACTTTAATTAAACATTGATAATCATTATTGTTAATTCGGATGTGTGTGTGTGCACTTCAATCTCATTTTTTGTATTGTTTGAAGGGTTGGCTGTAGGTTACCGAGTAGGGCACGTTTAACATTATTGATTTCGCGCGCTGAATTATGTAATAATAACAAAAATTAAAGTTGAAAGTTACTCTTCTATCAGTATTCACTGAAGATACTATAGAGTATCATTTTATCTATTTTTCGACAAATTTTTTCTTTGTTTTATTAATGAAAAATATTTTAAATATAATTTTTCATAAATCAACAGAATCAATCAATACAACTACTTCAGCCAGAACTTCATAAATTTCAACAGATTCAACAATTCAACCAATTTCAGTGTTATCAAACGAGCTCCGAATAACTTAATCATTCCAAACAAATTTATCATTTCCAATCAGCCTGATTTTGAATCTGTCTCTCTCCCGGTCACCCAAACGGGCTCGGAATAACTTAATCATTCCAAACAAATTTATCATTTCCAAACAGGCTGGTTGGGAATCAGTCTCTCTCTTGGTCACCCAAAACATGCACGGTGCATAGAATGCTCTCAATTACCTATGTAAAAAACTAGGTGTTTTGTGTACACCCCCTAGTTGTCTATGTACACAACTTGTTTAGAAAAAAGACAATTGTTATTGTTTATGTACACAGGGCACAGGCTAGTGTACAAAGAAGTATACATTTTTTGTGTACACCAAGAACAACTTGAATCCAATTGTGGGTCAAAGTGGCGATCAACCAAAGTGAGGCGTCCATGACGGGGGTAAGAAAATCTTTATTTTTCGGTATGAAATCAAACAACTTGAAAAAACCTGACAGGCAAAGAAACCCGGTCCAAATAAGGCAAGCCACAATTCTGATTCTGAAGCAGGAACAGATCAGTTTTTTACCCAGAACATAACCGTAAATTGTGAACCAAAATCGGATCCAGCACTCCACCGGTTTAAAATTTAAATGGAGGGACAATTATAGAAGGATGTTCTAATGTCGGAGAGTCAAACCCCAGCATTTACATTGATAGATATGAGAATGGGAATAAACTGGGTTACTTTATTTCCTGCCAGAGGTAAGCAGGAAAACATGTTATACTACCACTGCTTCACAGCAAAACAAGGCTTGAAGCTTAATGATTTCTGCTTAGTACCTAGCATTACTACTCTTGTTGGTGTTTTTAGAAAAATGAATCGTCTTATTGTCATGCCGACTCATACAGAGTAGATATCAAGAACACTTGTAAATTTTCCAAGGTTCGGCATGCAGTGTAATGTCATTGCACGTTAACAACGGCTAAGGGGCATACAAACATGCCACATTTAATCATGCACAGCAAAACAATCAAAACCTTCAATCCTATATATCCAGCAGAAAACTATGTGAACAATGCTATACCATTGAATGATCAATAGTTTGAATATCTTTTTAAGAGTTGGTAGGTGGGGCATTTGATAGGAAGTCATATTTAACCAACAAAGCTAAAGCTAGTAACTTCAAGTCTCTGTCATGGGTATACTTTTGTGTTTTGAATCTTATCATCGGTAAGCTTCCTGGTACAGGCAGTGTGTTTTCTTTTCTTACCTTTGCTTGATGATGTACCTGGTTTCTTCTTCATCCATCCAGACATCCTGATATATTTGTTTGTTCCAAAAGACAGAAGCACATGGGAGAATATGTAGCAACAGCCTACTGCAAATGAATAAATAGATAATACATATCCATGGAAGGCATTTCAGTGTTTACTCCCATAGTTTTTACAAGCAAAGGCTGGTCAAGGATTTAGTTCCCACAACCAGAGCATTTGGGCTATTTGAACAATAGTTTTGACTTTTGAGTATCACTTTTGAAGTTGGACAATAACTTGAATAATATTTCCTCACATTTAGCATTGTCAATGAAAAGAGAAAGGAGAATAATTTGTACAAAATGTTTTGCTTCAACAGTTTGAATCGAATAAGTACACCATCTCTAATAGATCGTCCTTCTTCCAAAATTAGCAAAGCATACTGATACAAACAGAAAACTCCATCGCCGGTAACTATTCCTAATTCGGATCTTTACCACGGAGCCTGAAGATTATCCGTCCTTGGCTCGAATCGTATCGACTAACTTCAACCCTTACTCTGTCTCCAGGCAATAAACGGATAAAATTTTTCCGGATTTTTCCGGAAATGTAACCGATAATCACATCCTCGTTTTCTAATCGGATCCTGAACTTGCCGTTGGAAAGCGACTCCAATATCGACCCCTCGAGCGTCGACTTCTGCTCCGCGGCCGCCGTACACCGGACATTCTTACCGTCTTCCTTCTTGCTAGACAAATGGCGCTGAGAGTTCACAGATCTCCCGTGGGCTTTAGCTATGAGCTTCTCGTAGTCCTTCCCGCGGAAACTCAAATAGTTTGTTGTGGCCTTCCCAGGCGCCGGAAGTAGACAAAATGTCTTAAACGCGGCGGAGGTGGTGGCGGAGGGGGTTGCCAGCCACCCTGAAAGAGAGGTCATCACTGCTAAGCTTTGGCGGATAAGGTGGATACTGCAGATAATCACGCGCCCTACTGCAAAACTCTGGCCTTGTAAAACTTCCACGCAGCCATTTCTCACTTCTACAGTAGTTCTCCCTTTTTGAGGATTTGGGCTTCAAGCTGCTTACCTTTTGGTCCTTACCCTTAAATGTACAGTGCCCAATACTCCAGTTTATAAGAAGGCCCAATTATTTAAATTGGTACTCCGTAAGTCCGTATAATACTAACATAATTTTGCTAGCTTACTTATTAATTTCTCTTTTGTCCTACTTGGCTTAGAGGTGGGGACAAATGCCAAATTTTCGATATGTTGGACATATCATAGAGAAAAAACAAATTTTATCAACACTTTCGGGATACCGGATGATGGAGTATATGGCCCAGGGACCCCCGGCACATAGACTCCTACTATCCTAATAAAAGCCCAAGAGGCCCATGAAGCACAACAGGCCCAAATCGCAGCGCCCCGGGTACCAAGCAACCCATGGAGCACACAGGGGTGCCTTCGGCCCCCTGGCCGAAGGCTCCAAATTCTCACAGAAAGGCTATTTTTAGCATACAAAGCTACTGGGAGAAAACGGCGAAAATCAGTAGCCCTCGGCACCTGGAACCCTCGGCCTTAAGAGGCCTTCGACAAGCAGAGCCCTCGGCTAATCATCTACAGCCGAGGGTACCTTCCTCGACAAGAATATCCTCTCCACATGCGCCTGGATAACCGTACCAAGTGCAACGTCACATCCAACCGCCGCATTAAATGCGGCCACATGCGAATGCCAGTGACACCCGGTTGATGTGACCCCTCGGCTGTTGGATGTTTGACACGTGTCCCCGTCTCGCATTTATTGCTACTATAAATAGCACCTCATTTCCCCTTTGTAAACGATATTCTGAATACGCTGAGTTCACGCTTGATAGAGTATATCTAGAGAGAAGTGAGAGCTAGAGAGAGAAGTGCAATGATATACTTCAATAGAATGATTTTGTAACCCCTATAACTACTCCCAAGGGGAGTATTTATAGAGAAAATACGGGCTGGGCTCCCAAGCCTTGGGCTTGGGAGGCCCATTTACAACTGGACCGCTACTGGGCCGAATACAAAGCCACTAATGGGCTGTACGAATGAGTAAGTATAAAATCCGGTTCTGTGAGGTCTTCGTGGCCGACCAGGGCGTGGCCGACCAGGGCACGGCCGACGAGGGCGCGGCCGACGAGGGCACCCGGGTTCCTTGGGCTCAGGACCATAATCTGAGTTGGCCCCTTTTCGGCCGACGGGGGCGTCTTGGCCGACGAGGGCGCCACTATGTGTCTTGTGCTTTCTGTTCTTCCGAGTATGTGGGTCCGGGGGCTCAGACCCATATACTCCATCAGGAGTCCCCCACTCTCTAAGCTGAGACGTAGACGAAGTGAAGGAGAGTAGATTCTCGTGCTTTAGTGCTTTTGGCCGATGCGGGCATTCCTGGGCCGTTAGCTGTTGCGGCGTTGGTGCTGTTTCCATTTTGGTGATCCTGTTCTGTGCTTTGGCCGTTACCTGTTCCTCGCTGTGGGCGGGGAGGCCGTTGTTTCCTTAATGTGTTCGTTTGAAGACGACAAGTGTCCTGCTTCAATGATGGCCGTTGGAGGTACGCTTTCCCTTTCCTGGACGTTGATGGTTGAAGTTTATGTTTGGGCCGATGAGGCCACTGAGGTTGAACCTTGCTTTTGAGGACGATGGCGTCCTTTTCTTTGGGTGGCCGATGAGGGTGTTTGCGCACTCCTTTTGGCCGTCACTGATTGGCCTTCGTGTTCTTGGCCGAAGAGCCCATCATGATTAACTGTTGGCGGAGGACGATGAGTGTCCTTGCCTTAAGTGGCTTGTTGGCCGTTGTTGATGATGTTATGTGCCTCTGGCCGATGAGGAGCCGTTGTGGTGCGTGGACGATGGTCATGCTTTGTGGTTACATGTTCTTTGTATTGTTCCTTTCTGTTTTGTTGAGGCCGATGTAGTCCCCCAGTCCCCCACTGCTTCAGGCCGAAGAGTGTGAGGGGTGAAGGAGTTTCTTGAGTCCCCGGCCGAAGCGGTCTCGCCGTAGTCCCCCTGAATCCAACCCTCATGGCGATTTTCTGGCCAAGGTAACCCTGTGGGAGAACCCTTGTGCGCAGATCGCTTGTAGAGGGTTATCATCAAGGGTTATTACGAGGAGCCGATGGCTTTTGGGCTCTTGGGGTCCTTTGATCTTGTGGCCGTTACGTTCCTGGCCGTTGTCGTCTCCTTATTGTTTGGCCGTTGTGATCTTGGCGAGCAAGTGGGACGTTGTGGGCGCTGGCTGGCATTTGTAAAACCGGTGAGCGTGTGTAGGCCGTAGAGTCCGTCTTGCCAGTGGGCTGTTGATATTGAGTTTGGCCCGTTGGTGACGTGGTGGTCCTCCATTGGTGGCCGTTGGTGTGGCCATTGGGGGGGTGCCACGTGTAGTGACCGTTGGGTGGGGGTTCTATAAATACCCCTCCCCCTCCGACGAGAAAACGTATTTTCATTCTGAATTTGTCGAAGTGCTGGCCGATTTTCTAGAGAGATAAACTCCCAAGTCTGTTCTTCGTGTTCTTCGTTGTTCAAGGTTAGTGTTCATCGCGATCTTCCTCACTTTTCATACTTTGCTTCCTAGGTTGTTGATCTAGTGTTAGGCGTTTGAACACCCTTAGATCTTAAGTTAGTCTCCTTAGGCCCGTAGTAGTAGTTATGAAGAGCTTGAACGAAGACTACTACCCCTACGACGACCAGCCCTCCACGAGGTCGCTTGACTACGAGGTGCTCGAGGAGTTTGAAGAGGAGATAGAGCGTTTAAGTCCCTACAAATCCGGAGAGCCGGTGGATGAGGAAGGCGAGGACGAGGAGTCCGCCTCCTCTTCAAAGGGTGAGGACGTAGGCGCGTCCCGAGTGGTGGACGGGGCGTCCACTTCTGCTGTCGTTCCGTGCCCGAGGCCGGTGTCTGCCGTGAAGGGGGCAGCTAAGCCGAAGAGAGTGAGGAGGCCGAAGAGTGGGCCCGGTATCTCCTATCTGGATCTCACCAACATCTACCTGATCAAGCCGGAGAGCAGTGCGGCCGACTATCTTGTTGCCCAGATGTACGTGGGGCCGTTCGGGCGGGTTAGGGCACCCAGGCCGACGGACCATGTTCTTCTGCCACCACCGGGATACTTTGGAGTATACCCGATGAGTTTTGCTAAGGGGTTGAGGTTCCCCCTTCACCCTTTCATTACTGAGTACCTGGACATGGTAGGGCTTCCTCCGGCCTTGCTGACGCCGAACAGCTACTCCTTGATGGTGGGGTTCTTGCTCCGGTGTGAGGAGTTGGGCTACCAGCCGACAACGGCACTATTCATGAATTTGTACCAGATCGGCCGAGGAAGTCACAAGAACTGTGCGGCCTACGCTACTCTTCAGCAGCTGCCGAAGAAGAGGAGCTTCACGGATTTGCCTACGTCCATTCATGGGTGGAAGAGCAAGTTCGTGTTTGTGTCCATTGGTGAGAGTGGCACTGAATTCCCCTCTCTCGGCCATACCGGGAGGTTTAACCTGCACGACCCGCCGAAGAGCTCTATTTTGGACGCTCAGGTGGAGGCTTTCTTGGAAGGGGGGCCGAGGAGCATGAAGGATTACATTACTGAATACAAGATGGCCGCCCTCGGCTTTTTGAGATACTATGTCTATGGTGACAAGGAGGATGACCTCCAACTCTGGCCGAGGATGACCACCACCTTTGAGGAGGCCGACGGCCCGGATTTGGGCATTCCTGCTGAGGCCGCTGGTAATTATTTCTTCGGCTTTCTGTTTTTATGTTTTTTGTCCTTTGCCTTACTAATCCGTTGTGTTTTCCCTTTGTAGATTTTGCCATGGACCGACGTTCTATGATGGCTATTGCCAAGGCCAAAGCGGCCGAGGAGCTGGCTGCTAAGGCGGCCGAGGAGCTGGCTGCTAAGGCGGCCGAGGCGGCCAGGCGTGCCGCGGCCGGTGGGAGCGGGGCTACTGCTGATGCGGTCCCAAAGCCTGCTCCATCGAAGAAGAAAAGGCCGGCCACTGACGGCCAGAAAAAGTTAACTGAGGCCGGCCTGAGCGTCTCGAAGAAGACGAAGAGGGCTCCTTCCCCTTCTCCGGCTACTGAGGCCGGTACTCTGACTGTCCCCAGCGTGGACGATGGTGGCCCCGTCGTGGACCTTACTGCTGCTGACAATGCTGCCCCATCGCTTCCTCTCGTCCAGGAACCACGGACGAAGAGGGCCGGCAAGGAGATTGCCGGTGCCACCTACCAGAAGGTGGTAGAATACCCCGTCGACGGGGGCGTGTTTAATGATCTCGTCCCTGGCCACGTCGTCCTGGCCCAATCCATGTCGGCCAAAGATCGGGCTTACTTGAAGAAGCTTGGGGACGTGAAGATTTACGAGGGCGGCATGGACCTCCTCATCCAAGTAAGTTACTGTCCTTATGTTTTTGTCTTTCTCTTCGTCTGTGTAGAGTCTTTTGCCTGACCTTTGTTTTCCTTCTGCAGAGTGCCTTTATGCTTATGGAAAGCCATAAGAGGCAGTATTGGGAGATAGCTCGCTTGAAAGAGCTGGAGCAGAAGGCTGCCTCGGCCGACGAGGCGGTAGCTTGCCTTGATCGGCTCCGGGAGGATGCCAAGGCGTTGCAGGCAAGGGCTGATGAAGCCGCCGCAGCCAGGGACGATGCCCTGGCCAAGCTCGAGGAGAGCAAAAGGGAGCTCGAGGAGTCCCAAAGGGCGCTTGAGGCCGAGAGGCGCAAGAGCGAGGAGGCCGTCAAGGCGAAAGCTGAGGCCAAGGCCGCCGTCGTGAGGGCTGCTGATGAGGCCGTTAAGCAGTTCCTGGCCGAGGGGTGGAAGGCCGATGAGAGGCTTCCCTGGTGCTACGAAGTGGTTGCCGCCAGGCTTGAAGATTGGGGGATGAACTCCCCCGCCGGCCAGGAGTACTTCAGCAGGGAGATGGCCGTTTATTACAACATGGGCCAGGAGCGGATGCAAAGGCTCCTGTGTCGTCGGCTATCCCGTGCATTGAAAGCCATGAACTACACGTCCGGGTGGGCCAGGCGGAACCTGAAGCTGCCAAAGCTGATGAAGGATCCAGAGGAGCAGGCCAAGCTTCCTCTGTCGGAGCGGGAGTCCCCAATTGAAAGTTTCGGCCTCGGTGAGCCGGACTACACTGAATTTGATTTCCTGGACGATGCCACTAGCGCTGCGGCCGCCGCCGAGGAGGGAATTGACGAGGCCGAAGAAGCCGCCGAGGAGGGAGCCGACGAGGTTGAAGAGCCAGCCGCGGATGAAGGTGCCCCGGAGGCTTGATCGGCTATTCCCTGTTGTAATTAGCTTTTCATTTTTTTTCCAAATGATGTAACGGCCGAAGTGCCCCCAATTGTAATGAACTCACTATGAATGAAATGTTTTTTGCTGTCCTGATCGGCTTTCAATTCCTTGTATGCTTGTTTGCCTTTTGTCATTTCAATTCTAAAATTTGTCCAAGTGTCAAGGTCATAACTTGGGTCACCCGTGAGTGTCTGCTACGTCCGTGAGGTAGCCCACCCTGTCCGGTGGCCTGGTCGGCTTGTTTGTCGTTGCTTTACTATCATAACACTTAGGATTTCTTCCAAAAATTTGCTAAGTGTTTTGGATTCTTGTAGATGTTTCCCTTTCGGCCTGGTGGCTTTGTCGGCCTGACCGTCCTTTCTGTACTATCATAACACTTAGGATTTCTTCCAAAAATTTGCTAAGTGTTTTGGATTCTTGTAGCTGTTTCCCTTTCGGCCTGGTGGCTTTGTCGGCCTGACCGGTGTTGATGCAGTATCATAACACTTAGGAATTTTTCAAAATTTTTCTAAGTGTTTTGGGATCCACTTAGGTGCTTTCCTTTCGGCCTTGACCGTGGTGTCCGTTCCGTCCTGGCGCTGGGTCTCTCCCCATTATTGGCAGATGGTTTGGGTGGTTTGCCAAGTGTTGAACCAGTGTCGTTGTCGGCCTGCATTCCTGTGTAGTGGCCGATAAGGGCACCTTCACCTTAGTCTTTTGGACTTTGAATTTTTTCCAAGTACATATGCAAGGCGTAGGTAGCTAACGGCCTTGGAATATATATGTACCCGCTCCGTCCAGAGTTCTTCCATTTGAGTACTTAGATAATTTCCTAAGTATAAATGTTAGGCATTTACTTCTTTGCGGTGCCGCTGCCGGCCAAGGTCTTGCTTGTGGCCGATGAGGGTGCTGGATAAGGAATGGCTTGTCCAAGGAGATGGTCCTGCCTTCGTCGGCTAGCCATGGTTCCTTGTTGAGGAACCCTCTTTTCTCAGGGTTTTTTCTAAGTGTTTGGGAAACACTTAAACAAATTCCCAAAGAACTTTCCCTCGACCAACGGCCTTGGTTCCAGTGCATGCGTCGGCCATCCGAGGTGCTGTGGCAAGTAGGGGTTGTTTCTTGATTGCTTGATCCTTTCGCGGGTGTGATAAGTGCCCGCTTCGTCCTGGTCATCCTCAGGATTGCGATGCCTTGTTTCATACCAAGCGTTGGTTCCTCAAAGGACTATGGCCGATGAAGGTCACCTCTCGCTTGTCACCCAACCGATGCGGTTAGGGTTTTGTAGGCGTGTGTTTCGGCCTTGATTATTCCCTTGTAGTGTGTGGACGTGTCGTCCATGTTACCTGTCAGTGGTACTACACTTGTGTTCTACTGATATGTACTTGGCCTAGTTGGGCCTGAGTTGTGGGGATTTTATTTTTTCATTGCTCGAGGCCGGCTAGTGTGCGCGGCCGTCGGCTTCCCTCTTTTTCCCTTATATTATTATTTTTTTGTTTCGTTTCGGGGGTATCCTTCTTTCAGGCTTCGGCCGAAAGGTGTGCTCGTCCTTCGGCCGGTTCGGACTTCGTTTATAACGTCCGTGATCTCAGGGCGGGTCCCGTCGCCTATTTATGACGCGGGCTAGACTTTTGGTCGGTTTCCAACGGCTGTCGTTGCCCATCCCTGAGTTTTGGGATTTTTTCACCTCGGCCATGATTTCAGGCCTGTCGTCCTGCGATCTGGCGCGTGGACGACGCGGTGAGCTTCCCGTTTCAAGACGTTTGCCGTTTGCGGGTCCCTCGTCCTGGGGACATCGTCGGCCATACCCGAGCGTTTCACTTCTAGGCTTACAGGGCCAGGACGGTGTGCTCTCTCAGCTAGGCCTGAGCCCTTCGCAGATACAAAATACAATGGAGCGCCTGAGCTTGTTGCCCGTAGGCTTCAAATGCAAGGGGGCCTCGTCGGCCATGCCTGAGCCTTTCGCTCTAAGGTGGCCGACGGGGACACCTGCTAATGTTTTACTTTAAATTCCAGAGAAAAAATCAGAACATGATTTTATTCATAAGTGGCTCGAGGCCGAGGGTGGCGTTCAATCAGTAACCCGTCAAGAGGTGAGGGCTTCGCCGTCTGCACCTCCTTCGGATCACTGATAAAACTTCACCAGATGGTGTACATTCCATGTTCGTGGTACATTGGACCCGTTCGGGCGTTTAAGCATGTAGGTGCCGGGTTTGACCACGGCACTGACGATGTAGGGCCCTTCGTACTTCAATGCTAGCTTGCCACCCTCTGTCGGCTGGCTTGCTTCCCTTCGGCGGAGGACGTAGTCCCCCACCTGAAATTCCCGAGAACGTACCTTGGCGTCATAGTATGATTTTACTTGACGCCGGTAGTTTTCTGCTCGGACGTAAGCTTGCTCACGCCTCTCATCAACCAAGTGTAGGTCAATCTTCATGTTCTCTTCGTTGGTGTCAGGCTCATATTGTTCCACCCGCCGGCTGGGGATGGCAACTTCCGTGGGCGCCTTTGCTTCAAAGCCGTAGCATAGGGCGAAAGGCGTTTCACCTGTCGCCCTCCTCGGCGTGGTTCTGTAGCACCACAGGATGTTGGGGAGCTCATCGACCCAACTACCTCCTGCGGCCTGGAGGTTCTTCTTCAGCCCCTCCATAATTGTTCTGTTGGCGTTCTCGACCTGCCCGTTGCCCTGAGGATAGGCAACGGAGGAGAAATGGTGCCTCACCCCAAACTCCCGGAGGAGCTCCTGGAAAGGGGCTGCCTCGAATTGGGTGTCGTTGTCTGATATAATCTCCTGGGGGACGCCAAAGCGTGTGATGATGTTCTTGTAAACAAATCTTTGGCATCTGGCCCCCGTGATGCTGGCCAAGGGCTCCGTCTCGACCCACTTGGTGAAGTAGTCGACGGCGACGATGATGTAGCGGTTATTCCCGGCGGCTCTGGGCAGGGGGCCGACCAGGTCAGTTCCCCACCTGGAGAATGGAATTGCGGTGCTGACAGGGGCGTAGTTGACAGCTGGCCGGCCAGGGGCCTTCTGGAGTACCTGGCATGTGGTGCACTTCCTGGCCAGGTCAGCGCAGTCGCGTGCCATCGTCGGCCAGAAGAAGCCCTGGACGACGAGACGCCGGGACATGCTGAAAGGGCCCTGGTGCGAGGAGCAGACGCCACAATGAACCTCTTCCATGGCTGTGTCGGCCTCGTCCTGGTGCAGGCATCGGAGGAGAGTGCCATTATAGGACCGTTTGTAGAGTTTGCCATCTTCGATGGTGTAGCTTGGGGCCCTGAGTTTGGCAAGTTTGGCCCTCTCCTCGTCCGGGGGCAGCTCCCCCGTTGTGATGAAGGTGGCGATGTCGGAGATCCAGTCCTCTGGTCGCTGTTGGACGCACAAGACGGGGCTGGCATGGATGCTGGACATGCTCAACTCCTCGATCTTGGCCAACTGGGAGATGTGCTCCGGGGTGTCCGAGCTGAGCTTGGAGAGGATGTCGGCTTCGGCGTTCTCGGCCCTTGGGATCTGAGTGATCTCGTGGGTTTCAAACGCTTTCAGCAATTCCTCCGCCGCTTGTTTGTACTGCTTCATCCGGCCTTCCTTTGCTTCGTACGATCCCTCCACCTGGCCCACTACCAGTTTGGAGTCGCACTTGATTCTGAGGTGCTTGGCCTTGAGGCCGGCGGCGAGTCTGAGACCGCTGAAGAGGGCCTCATACTCGGCTTCGTTGTTGGATACCCTGAAGTTGAAGCGGATGGCATAGTAAGCTCTGAATCCTTCAGGGGATATGAGGACGCCGCCGCCGCCGCATGATTTCGCGGCCGACGAGCCGTCAGTGAACAGGGTCCACGTATCGTCCGGCTCCGGCCCGGAGTTGGCGACGGCCGTCTCCCTTGCTGTGCATTCAATGACGAAGTCGGCCAAGGCTTGCCCTTTGATAGATGGCCTTGGCTTGATCTCAATCTGAAACTGGCTGAGGAAGATCGCCCATTTCACCATCCTCGAGGAGCTAGTGGGGCTCCTCATGAGCGCGCCAAGAGGCTGCTGGGTCAGCACATGGACGGTGTGGGCTTGGAAATAGTGCCCCAGCTTCTTCACGGTGTGGACGATGGCCAGCACCGTCTTCTCAATGGGGGAGTACCTGAGCTCGGCCTCCCTAAGTGTCTTGCTGATGTAGAAGATGGCCTTCTGCACCCCTTCGTCCTCACGGATGAGCACGGAGCTGATGGCCGACGTGCTCACCCCTAAGTACAAGAAGAGGGTTTCGCCGGCTTTGGGCTTGGAGAGTACGGGTGGGGACGACAGGTACCTTTTCAATTCGTCGAATGCTCCCTGGCACTCCGTTGTCCACTTGAAGCT